AAAAAAAAAAAAAGAAAGAAAGGCTGAGGCAGAATTGCTTGAGCCCAGGAATTGGAGGTTGCAGAGGACTATGATCATACCACTTTACTCTAGTTCCAGCAACAAAGCAAGACCCTCCTTGAAAAAAGTAATAATATGCTTGATTTTAGCTTTATAAATCTGTCTGATCCTATGCTCTGTTTGAAGCAATTTTTGCTGTGATATCTTTTTATTTATACTAGCATCCCTCACTCTGAGACCTTAAAGTTTTCCTTCTCTTTTCCAGAAAACTGAAGATGTAAGCCAAGCGGAGTTTTAAAATGTGTATATCCTTTCTTTCCTTTTTTCAGATGCGTGGCCAGAAAGTTCTTATATTTGTGGATTCGAATGACTTTTGGAAGAGTATTCCCCTCTAAAGCCAGGTAGTATTAGCTCAGAACAGCAAATTTCTGCTGAGTTATTCTAGGTTTTAGTTTTATATTAAGCCTATACATAACCTTTCTTATGGCATATGGTGTTACATTCCTTGCCTGCTCCTACCCAGCCTCTGATAGGCAGGGACAGTAACTAATACAATCACATAATGTAATTGTAACTTCATATGTGTTAGTTGACTGAGTGAATGTATGAAAGAATCATACTTAGAATAAACCAGTATGGCGAAGACCTGTCAGGGAAAAAAGTGTTTGCCCAAGAGAAGTAAATGGGCTTTTTTAGGGCACTGGTGAGTCTAAAAAATTGGCTTGATCCAGGACAAAACCTGAAGGAAAAAACTGGCATTGGCAAGGAGAGTAAAATTTTAGTGAAGAGCAAATCCCTCTGCCGCAGCTCCATTTTGTGTAGACTGCTGCTCTGCACTGCTGTGGCTTCTGGTAACCATTTGCTTTAGCTGCAGTGCAGAGTGTAAGAGGCTATCACAGGAGTGAGCAACACTGCACAGGAGGTGGGGATTGGGAGTAGAGAGGAGGGGTCTGTGCAAAGTATGTTTCAGAGGGAGAACTGGCAGCTGTCGAAAGTACAAGCGATTTTTTTTTTTTTTTTTTTTTGCAGTTTTTGGCTGGGGCTGGGTTTGAACCTGCCACCTCCGGCATATGAGGCCAGTGCCCCACTCCTTTGAGCCACAGGCACCGCCCGTGCAAGTGATTTTTAAGAACTGAAATGTGGGGTGGTGTCTGTGGCTCAGTGAGTAGGGCTCCGGCCCCATATACTGAGGGTGGTGGGTTCAAACCCGACCCTGGCCAAACTGCAACAAAAAAATAGCAGGGCATTGTGGCTGGTGCCTGTAGTCCCACTTACTCGGGAGGCTGAGAGCCCAGGAGTTGGAGGTTGCTGTGAGCTGTGATGTCACAGCGCTCTACCGAGGGCGATAAAGTGGGACTTTGTCTTTAAAAAGAAAAAAAACCTGAAATGTCATGGTCTCTCAGCTGCCCCTCTCTTCCTTCTTTTCCCCTTGCTATATATAACTTTTCCTATTTCATTTTTTTGACAATCTGACTTTCCTTGATTTAATGGCTCTCAAGCAAACTTAGTCTGTGTGTGTTTTCTGGAATCTTTGCATACCTTGTAAGGAAGCCTGCTTCTCCCATCTTTTCTGTGTGTCTTTACAGTGAAGCTACTGATGTGGCAGCACAGCCCCTACCAGCTGATGGTGGGAGGCATTCTTTGCCTCTGAGAATGCTTCTTCTTCTCTGAGATCTTGGCCTGTCCTCCTTACTTCCTTGGGAGCTCTTCAATGCCTTCACATAATTTTTTTTTTTTTT